GCTACTTTTGAGAATTTAGATTTTAGGTCCTTGTTTTACATGTACCCAGTAAATATTTTTGAGTTTTGAACTCTGATTCTCACAAACTTACAATTTGTTTACAATTTACTCTGGCTCTGCGAGTTGATCGGAATTGTAACAAATACGCGTACACTTAAATGGCTTCCTGAATTTAGTCAATCAGATGTGTAAAAATTACTCGTTTCAATATTATGTTTATGCTCGAAACTGCTCATGTTTACAATAGCAATTCTAACAATCTTGCCCTCCTTTTCGCCTTTGAGGCGTTGGTGTTGATTTATACACAAAATTAAAAACTCAAAAATATTTACTGGTCTGGGTACATGTAAAACGAAGACCTAAAATCTAAATTCCCAAAAGCAGCTTTAATACGGTCAAATTTTCCGAAGTCTGATTTAGTTGTTTCAAAAGTATAGAATACACACACACTTCTGTATGGATTTCGTACATGTTCTACATGTCTTACAGTAAAAATACAAAAATTGTCCCACTCTGCGGTTTGTTGTGATTTTAATACTGTCATTTGTTCTGTTTTTCTGTAGCGATTACCGATTTATCGGCAAATACCGCGATTTGAAAACTTACTTTTCTTTATTTATTTCATTCTACAGCATTTATAGTTCTACAGCTATCTTATACAGTTTTATAATATTGTGAATGATTCCGAATATTCAAAACGAATTGAAAGAATGAAAGCAGTAATGTTACTGAATAACGGTTTAAACTTAGCCGGCCGTACAGCTCACTGCCACCGGTCACTGAGCCGAAGGATAAACCGAAAATTCACTTTTCTCATCACAAGATTTAATGTTCAGTCGATCCGCTACATTGAAAGATGAGTATACTTGGCTATTTTTTGTCAGGGGTAACGAAATATATCGGCTGTTCTCTACAGTAAGTGTTTCTTTATGACTTATGTGTTGCCCATCGGAATATAATATAACTACATAAGCTTGATAGATGTAAGATAACGAGTTTCACAATCCCATTTTAAATACTATGGCTTTTGGCAGCCTAGTTTTGCATCATATGTGTTTTTCAGTAAAAGCCCCATTTTCCTACTTCCCCAACGTGTAATACGCGAAAAAAACTTTGTTAATAATAACAAAAAATTGTAATAGTAAACAGTGTATTTTATTATAAAGGATTTTCGTTTTTCTACTGCTCCGTACTTCGTGTGCTCCGTGCTCCATGTGCTCCGTACTCCGTGTGCTCCGTGCTCCGTGTGCTCCGTGCTCCGTGTTTTACTAATTAATAGCCTGTCGAATCCAATTGCTTGAATTATGTTCATGCAAAATTCGACGTCTGAAACAATTAAATCCGACGTTTCTAATTGCGGTCGACCGTAACTTTAACTTCGACCGGTGCGGTCGCATAATTCGAGCAAAGTGCGACGTGGTTTCAGAGGTCGCATTTTGCATGTGTCGAATTTAATGCATAAATTATTTTAATTATTGTAATATATAATTTCTCCCTGTGTATGTAAATGACATGCGCAGTCAGCGCAGATGATAATTTGCCGCGAAATATTACAACATGGCGGGTATAAAAGGGAAGAAAGAATACTGCGGTTCCTGTTCCGATTTAACCGTGTATATAACTATATATGTATTGATTGCTCTGTATATTGCTGTAACAAATGTGCAGTTTTTGAGGAAAACGAGGAGAGCAAAGGATGGCAAATGGGGAAGTCTGTGGGCCGTTGCAAAACATGTACAATGGCGAATAAAATTATTAATAACAATAGTCATAAGGAACTATTGGAAGGCGAAACCTCGGGCGAAACAAACACCAAAATAGCGGATGATGTTGAGCTAGAACCGAAGCCAAAAAGGTAGACAATAAACATGTGTTTTTATTCATTTCATAACTAGCTGTAACAGCATTGTTCATAAAGGCCTGTTTAAACGGATCCAACATTGTTGGACCAACATCATCCAACAATGTTAGTATACTAGATATGACTGCTTCTCTTTCAAATCTTTTTGGTTAGATAAGCTTTACTCAAACCCTAAACCTAGTCTTGACAAAATATTTGAAAAAGAAGCCGTTTGAGCCATTATTTCAACAATGTTGGATGATGTTGGCCCAACAATGTTGGATCCGTTTAAACAGGGCTTAACTTGTTCACATGGTGCAAGATAACCTTGTTTTAGCTTGTTTTTCAGGTAATCAGGGCATGTGGTAACAAATTTATTAAGCCCATGGCACAATGAGTCAGATAGCATTTTCAGGCCCACTTCTCCCATAAGCACTGGTCAGGCCACCATTAAATTTGGGTCAATATTAATTGGAATTACATATTCAACACACGAAATATTCGACATTTGAACAGGGCCTTATTCTTTTGGCAAATTGTATTTATTTTACAGACAGGGGAGTTGAGGGCAACAAAAAATCCAGGAGGAGGGGTGATTAAACGACCAAATTCCAGTGGAGGGTCTGTCATTATAGCCATTTCATAGGGGTATTTGGCAATAAAGTCGTAGAAATTTCTGGGAAATTCCAGGGGAGGAGTCACAAACTGCTAAATCACCCCCTTCCCCTGTGTGGAAAATAAATGCAATCTGCCATTATTAGAAGTGGTTCTCTATACTTATAACAGTTGCCATGGCATGTGGTTCTATTTGGGCTATTCCATTTAATAGCCACCCTCCTCCTATCAAGGACCTTAAGGCCCGTACACTTACAATTTTTGCTGCAAATTCTAGTGTGATTTTCTTCTGATGGATGTGAATAAGTAGAGGGTACATATACTCAGAACAATCATAACTCATCTACTTATTTACATGTATGGGCCGGCGCACCCCAGTTTGTTGGTCAAACAAATTAGCCAGTCGGGCAATATTCGCTTCACAGTTGGACTTATTACAATATTGACTTATTAAAAAAATAAATGGGACAAATCCTGTCAATTTTGTGGGAAATTCTGTCAATTTTGTGGGAAATATGCTGCTATCTAATAGGATATCTTATGTATTTCTACATGTCTGCTTATTTCAAAACTTCAGAGAAGAAAACTCCCACTGATTTATCTCCAGGGGCATAGTAAATGCAGATTTCCTTGGGGGGTAAATGCTATTTAACAGGGATCTCCTATACAACAGGAATTATTCAAGTATTGAAGGGTATAAACCTTTTTCCTCAAAATGAAGAGGGGAGAGGGGTACTACATAATTTAAATGGAATAGCTAATTGCAGTATTGCATTGAAGTTCTTCTATACACTGAGCACTAGTGTATTTTAAAAATTATATATAGTGAGCAATCAGATGTGGACACCAGTTTATTGGACCTTGAGAATGAAAGTGAAGCCAGTGAAGGAAAATCCTCGAATGTCAACAAAAAGAGTAAGAAAGGAAAGTGTGGAAGGAAAGCTTCATGGAGCACTGATACCCTAAATGACTTAGTGGATATTATAACCTGTAATGAACACTATCAAAGAAAGCTAGTATTTACCAACACCAAGAATCAAAATAATGGCATAATATATGGGGAAATATTAAACAAGTTGAAGGAGAGAGCCAATGAAAGAGGAGAGCAGATTACATTTACTATTCAACAGATACGAACAAAATTTAAGCGTTGTGTTAGTGATTGCAAACAGGCGGCTATGACGATAAAAACTGCTACAGGAATTCAACGTTTTCAGGATGAAAAGGGATATGGCAAGTGGTTTGACTTGCTTTTCCCACTTGTCAAAACGCGTGATTCATGTCAACCAGCTATGGCAGTTGAACCTTCTGCAATTAATGATCTTACTGAGGAAGAGGAGGTTGAAAAAGCCTTTGAGGATTTTGTTCCTAGAAAGAAAATGAAGCTTCCAAAGAAAAATACGGTAGCTGAAGCTGTTGACTTGCTTAAGCAAGTGGTTGAAAAGGATCCAGCAAAGGAACTGATTACGGCCATGCAGGAAGAGGCAGAAAAGGCAAGAAAACACGAGCTTCAGTTAGTAGAATTAATGCTAAAGCATAACTCCAGTAACACCAGTAACCATGTTAATAATTTCAGTCCTCCACAGGATATACCAGCTATACGTCCTACAACTGTCTAAGGTATACCACAGGGAACGTGGAATCCACCTCACCAAAATTTCAGTTTTCAAAGTGCAGAGAACCCTATGTACAACATGTCAACTGTGGACCAATATCTCAACGTTTTTTTTATCCACCTGATACAAGTGGGCATGGAAATAGTTTTATTAGTCCAAGTCAGGGACATTTTCAGAGGTAGTAAAGCATGGATTATCACATGTTTGTAAAACTGTTTTGACCTGTTTAATTTGTTTGTTCCCATTTTGTTTGCAGTTAGATACAAATTTATTCAGTAAACCTTATCATAATGTACAATATGTTCATTATGAAAAATGAACTCTACCAGAATAACAAATATTAATTCATATGTTATGGTTGCTATTGTTTGAATGTCCAATACTGTACCAACATTTGGCACAAAACGTAAAGATTATGGATATATTTACAGTATATATTATATATACAGTATATTTGTAGTTTATTACTTGAGCATGTTATAAATATATATTTTCTGTTCTGTTCTGTTCTGTTCTGTTCTGTATTGAGTCATTCCAGAAGAGATTCACCCCCCCCCCCCAATGGAGAAAATTACTGCCACCCAGAGGGGGAGGGGAGAACAATTGAGGGAGGTATCAGGTATGGATGTTTTCTGGAATGACCCATTCTAACAAGTTTCAGATTGCATCAACATAAGATGTACAGGAAGGTGCATGTTATCACTGACAAACCATATCATTCAATCATGAATCATTTAGACAATCATGAATGAAATAAACATTTCCTCTACAGTTTACTATATGCCATTAATGTCCATATCCAGGGGCGCATCCAGGGGGTGTCCTCTGTTGTGGGACGGACTTTCCTCTAATGTTTGTGAATGCCCTATAGAGATGTGAAGCATTACAAATCAAGTCTCATTTCTGGAGTGGCTTTTGAGTTACACTAAAAATCTAAAGAAAGAATATACTTTTATATTCAAATTTGTTTGGAAATGAACCAAAACTAGTGTATGATTGAGTTATTACATAATTGCAAAGTATCCATTACCATTGCTGTGGGGTTAGGGTATTTCCCCAAGAAACATTTTGAATGCCTTTGACATATTGCATGCACAAAAAGGTCATCTGTGTTGGATCAAAACCAGGCTGGCAATATTTACCCCATAAATCTTTCAGGACTTAATGTGACACCCCTGCCAATATTGAATAAAATCGTTTGGCATTAGACAGAGTAAAATCATAAAGTTGGATACAATTGGGCACATTACAGCTTAATAAGTTAACTAAGTGTCAGTTGAACTATTATACATTTTTCTCGTGCTCCTATGGTAAGAAATTATATTACCAATGAGGCAATGAGTTCTCTAATTCATTCTTTATTGCACTGAACAGCAATCTTAATAAATCTGTCCTGTCTCTTTCTCTAGCCAAAGCTTTTCGGTCAATGCAGCTCGAATTTTTTCTGCATCAGATGACGAATCTCTTACCTTTGTGCAATTTCGCATCTGCAAGACTTCTCTGATCCTTTCTCTATCTCTTTTACCATTTGTGGCCAGGTCAACAGTAAGGTCCAACTTCTTTGGCATTGTATCACCCAAGGTTAAGCAAATATTATGGAGGACCATACATGCAAGTGCAAATGTGCGAACATTTGTACTGGTACTTTCACACTTTCTGAGTAAAACACGCCACCTGCCTTTTAACTGGCCATATGCTCCTTCAGTAACCATGCGAGCGCGACTTAAACGGTAATTGAAGTATCGCTGTTTTGGTGACAACGCTGCATTGGTGTAAGGTTTCATCAGCCATGGTGCAAGTGGGAAAGCAGAATCGCCAACTATCAGAGGAGGAACAGTTTGCATGCCAACCTTGCCCATTGAAGGTAGACCATCACCGTCTTTGATATTTGACCATAGCTCAGTTGATTGAAAAATAATGGAATCATGGGAGTTTCCTGGATAGCCACAGCTCCCCCAAATGAATCGGTAGTGCGAGTCAACCAATGCCATGAGTACGATAGAATAAAAGTTCTTAAAGTTATGGTATTCTTTGCAAGCTTCCATTCCACCTGGAGGACATTTAAGAGGAATGTGACAGCCATCGATCGCTGCCCAGCAACAAGGAAACTGCCACATTTCTTCCATATCTAAGATTTTATTACGAAACGTATCCTCTGAATTTGGCATGTATTTGTTAACGCTCTCATCCCATAACACTTCAACAATAGCTTCAGATACCTCTCTGGTTATTTTGGCAACTGTTGACAGTCCAAGACCACACAATTCGGATATAGTGTGGTAATATGTCCCACGACCAAGACGATACAGGCAGATAGCTAGACGAAAAGCTGGCTCTACCGGCTCTTCTACAACAGTTTTTCTTTCCAAAACATGGCGTATTCGCTCAAGAATGAAAGAAAAGGTATTTCTTGACACTCGGAAAGTCTTCTTAAATCGAGCATCAGAATATGTTTGCGACACAATATACCACCAACCTGGATTTCGTTCAAATCTCCGACATGAACGTATAGTAGGTGCAGCTGCATTTCTTCCAGACAAAAGCAGAAGCGCTATCACAAAGGAGATTTTAACTAGCTGCTGTCTCTGATTTACCAAAGCATATAACACTGATTCGATTTTTTTTCTCCTTTGTCTTGCTTTTTTTCTCCTTTGTATATTTAATAATGCAACATTTGTATGTGGCGCCATTATTTGTATTTTGGCGCCAAACTGAGCAGCTGGGAAATTTGTTGTCGCTGTGCAGAGAAATTGCTGGCGCACGCGATATTTTACAAAAATTCGAAAATTTGAAAAAACAACACGAGTGAAATTTCAACTGATGATTTTGCATTTTTAAGACGGCGATCAAGGAAATTAAATTGTAGGAAAAACTTCACTAACATCTCAAGTATGGAAAGCATCTACATTATCAGCATTTTAATTTTGGATTGATTCAAAATTCAGGCGATAAAGTTACATAGCTAGGAGTTGGCTTTTGTGCTCTTCGAATATCCATTTTCATTCGCGGATTACCACAACTTGTTGGTCTCATGGGTGCCAAAATCGACATAAACGTAAACCGGTAACCAAGAGCTATAAAACAAATAGCTTTTCAAAACGATAAACTTTATTCAGTCAAAAGGATGAGGGTAAATAAACATGCTACTGCGTGATGGTGATTTTGAAGCAACTTTGTCACATATATTTTAAAAAGTGGGATAATGAATCAAATTTTGCTTTTTTCAATCCCAAAAAGGTATGAAAATTATTTAAATATTTAAGGTTTCCGTGTTTATAATGTTTTTTTGAGAAAAGTAAACATTTTTCCGATAAAAAAGCATATTTTCTGCAGAAAACTGTTTTTTGAGGTAAAATATCCTGGGAGAGGGGGTGTAGAAGCGTGGGCGGATAGCAAAAAACTTTGACGATTTCACCAAAAAATTAATACCAAATTTTGTTTTGCCTTAGTTTGATGTGTAATTTAAACAAGTTTTTTTACATCTAAAAATTGCCCCTCGTGATCAAAACTTGGATTATGTTCGCAGTATTGGCCATTTGTTTACTTTTGGGGATCAAAGTTTGAGGTCCAATTATTTTTAAAGTTTGCAAACTACCCAGCTAATTCTTGGCTGTTGTTTGCAGCCTTGTATGCTGATTAAAATTTAGTTTAGTCCACAATAGTAGAACCTTTCAAAGAAAGGAAATTAAAAATAGTATATTTGATTACTTTTACAGCACAGTTAGTACATAGGTAGGGTGCAATACCAGGCCAAATTGCAAAAAAATTTACCGAAATCTCCAAATTTAAAATCATATTTTTTTGCTCCCAAGGCACATAGGAAACATAATTTAACAATGAATTTTGTTGAAAAATTGCCCCTTTGCGTCTAATTTCGCTTTGAAATGCGTGCGTTTACTGCTCTTGTATGAGATAAGAGTTCGAAAACATTCGAAGTACTGTAAAATGTAATGAAATCGACAACTTGACCTTGCCCTTGACACCTTGTACTGCCTCAGCACTGAAATGTTTTTTTGACAACGATAATTTAACAGTGTTTCTTGGATATTTTCCTTGTTTAACTAGTAGAACCGAACATACAAGTGCATTAGAAGACTAAGCGAGAGTTTTGTATAGAAATGCTCTGTTTACGGGAAGTTATTTTGCATTCGCAAGCGTCAACAAAAGCCGGATTTTCACAGTTTGATTATCATGTCGATAGATAAAAGCTTTGAAACTTCAATTGAAAGCATTTTAAACCACCCGTATTTCTATAGAATATATGTTAGTGGTATTATTAAACATTGAACTTCTTTCTGTTTGAACCCAAATTCGTACTTGTTTTGCGTTTTACAAGGCTGTCAAGCTCGCGACGATTGGCAGGCATGACTGCAGATTTAGCGTGTCAAATGTCTTCTTGTTTGTGTCAAGTTTATAATATTGTATTGCTGTTCAAACACAAACGAGATATTCTATACACTGGAAACGTAGAGTACATTTTACTTGTCTCGAGCAAAAAAATTAGAAAGATTAAACAGGCATTCAAAAATATACAACAACCACGAACATCTCGTTATTTCTTCGCGAAAATCTTCAAGTTTCAATGGAAATCTGGCGCATGCGCAACAAATTTCCCAGCTGCTGCCAAACTGCAGTGTTTATTTTTAGTGAAGTGACGCTGATCAAAAGGAACGCACATGGTTTGCTTATTTAATTCGACACATGCAAAATTCGACGTTTGAAACGGGCGTCGAACTTTGGTAATTCCGTCGAATCTAATGCGAATTGAATTCGACACATGCAAAATGCGACGTTTGAAACAGGCCTAAGTCTCTGCAATAGAGCTTGAAGATTGGCATCATGTTCTTTTTGAGTTCGCCCCCAAACAATTATGTCATCAACAATGTTTTTAACTCCATTCAATCCTTGCAATGCATGCTGGATAGCATTTTGAAACACTTCGCTTGCCGAGTTAATTCCGAAAGGGAGTCTTTTCCACTGGAAAAGACCTTTATGAGTCGTAAAAGTTGTTATACCACGCGATTCTTCGTTAAGCACAATTTGATGGTATCCGCTTCTTAAATCTAGGCGAGAAAAATGAGCTGCATTGCTCATATTATCTGTTAGTTCCTCAATTGTAGGCATAGGGTGGTGTTCCCTCTTAATGGCTTCGTTAACTCTGCGATAGTCCCCACATACACGTATTTCGTCCGGATTTTTCGGCTTAGGCACGATCACTACTCCACTGACCCACTCTGTACTTTTATTAACGACAGGTTCAATCAAATCATTATCCTGCGACTCTTGAATCCACTTCTTTAACTGAGGACGAAGATTAAAAGGTATTCTACGGTATGTTTGGGCCACAGGTGGCACACTATCGTCAATGTGCAGTTTTTGTTCAAACCCTTTAAGATGTCCTACACCTTCAAATACATCCGCGTACTCTTCTAAAAGAGTCGAGACTCGCCCTGTGTCTGGCGTACTTGTGCATACTTTTGTCCTTTTCTCACCATTACTACTTGTCGAGTTACTGGTTGTAGTAGGTATCTGAACTTGGGTTGTGGTTTGTCGCAAGGCTTTTCTATCCAAATCACCCTCTTGTACTGCTTGCTGAGAAACTGAATTTAGATCAAACTTAATAAGTCTTAATTGCTGTGCTGTTGTATTACTAAGCAATTTACCATATTGAGATGCTGTAATGTAAATTGTAGCCACTGTCATACAATGTTTTGATTCTACTAATGTCTCCACTTTGCCTAATAGGGGAATAGGGTTATTTTCTCCAAAAGCACGAATCTTTGTGTTGGTTTTTTTTAAGGATATTGGTTCTTTGCTTTGTTTGCTTAAATGTTCGAAATCCTCAGGACCCAAAACGTTAACAGACGCACCACTGTCCACCATCATTTTCATCGGAACTCCATTAACACGGACCGTAGAATAGGGATGCTTACTTTGTTGTGCTTGTTGAACTGTGAACATGTGTTCTGAACCGCTGTCTGAGTCACTACTCGAATTACTTGTTGATTTGTGGGTTGATGAATGCCGTTCATCAACCTTATTAACACGCTGGAATGAACTAGTAGCTCCTCCGGTTGTTTTACATACACGAGCAAAATGCCCCCCTTTATGACACTTGTAACATTCTTTATCTACAGCTGGACATTTCTGGTTATCCTTGTGTGGAAACCCCAGTCCACATTTAAAACATCTCTTACTAGATGATGACGAGTACTTACTGGTTGTTCTAGGTCTTCGGTGATCCTGTTGTAATTGATTAGTATATTCCTCATTACCATCAGAAATGTCCTTTTTTATAATTTCCTTTGTTTGTTGGTCTGTACGAGCTAATGCTCTTCCATAATCTAATATTTGTGACAGGGTAAATGTTTTTTCCATTAAAATCTTTCGTCGCAATCTGTTAGATAAACATCCTTCAATTATTTGTTGTTTCAGCTCAGTATCTGTGTCTGCAAATTCACATGTTTTGGCCAAAGTACATAATCTAGTATAATATGCATCTAAGTCTCATGTTCTTGTTGCTTAGCTTGACGAAATTTATATACCTCGAAAGGTACATTCTTAGAAGGACTAAAATATTTTCACACGCCGTCTTAAAGTCATCTTCGTCACCATTATCCGGTAGCGTGTCAAAAATGGCCTCCACTTCGGGACCTGCCGCGTACAAAAGCATAGCCCGCTGCCGTGCTTTCGACTTGATATCCATTGCCAGCAAATATCTTTGAAATCTCTTAAGCCACTGTTCCCAACCGGTTGTGCTACAGCACTAACATCCATCTTAGGGTCAAACGGTGGCATGGGTTGTAGATTTCCCGCGCTCGCCATGATCAAATACCTTCACAAAATGGCACAAATACCGTATATGTCAGATTGTCCGCCGATTTTTTATCTAACGTTTGAATCTTCACTTCTCGCAAACACCCAAAATGAATCACTCTTTCTTTAATAAACCGGTAATGCATAAATTTACCCTCGTCGCCAATGTTATATCTTCAAAATCGTTATTTATTTCAACGTACCTAAGACATAAAACCTACACACATGTGCTCACTTCCAAATTCCCCCGACCCCCTGATGCAACGTTCTATACTTCATGTAAGACCAACATAACAGTCAGGTCTTAAAGTGTATATATACTCACTTGGATTACAAACCCTAACATTCTAATATTAATTCCACCAAGTGAAGTGCAAGTAACCAAATCATTGAAGTCCACCTTATCACAACCCGCACACCCGATTACCTATATATTCATGAACTTACGGTTACAGCTCAACAGCTGACCTCTGTAGCTCAGTTGGTTAGAGCGTAGCCTGCGTAGCAGACGGTTTTTAGGGGAGGTTGCGGGCGGGGAAAATTAGGGCGGGAATAACTTTCGGCGGCAGGGGGAAAAACCGTCTGCCGGGTTTCTATATGATTTCGTTTGCCGCCCCTTTCACGCCCATATTAAAAGTTTATTCCAACAGCCAATCAGAGTTCAACTTTTGCAATATTTACATTACGCTATGAAATTGATATGTTGCAAAAGTTGCAAATACTAGCGAAGCCAGACAGATACGTGAATTGTAAACAAAGTGCCGTAGGCTTAAAAAATGAGATGTGTGGAGTATGAGTGAGCGTGCAAATACTCCAAAGAAGACCGTCAACAAAGGAAGAAGGCAAAAACCTTTGTCTGTGAATGATTTTTGCAGGTTGTGTAAATGTCCTTTGAAATTGAAATTCGGAAATTTTGAGAAAACCTCATACGTATCTTCTGAACAGCTTTTCAAGCCACCATATAGGAAAGATTGTAGTGAGAAGACTTTGTGTGAACTGCTGACGGAGTTAAATATATTCGTTGAAAGGAAAGCAGAGTTATCTGAACGGGTTTGCAAATCTTGTGGTCGGAAAATACGGAATGCAAACGGCCTTTTTGCGTGGATAATTTCTTTGGTCAACGTGCCTAATTTTGACGATGAAAACTCTGGCAGAGAGCAACGCGTATTAGCCCTGAACGCAGTCCGCAAGCAAAAAAACAACCGAAATCTTCAATTGAAAGAAAGACAAGCGCCAAAAAATCAAGAACAACGGAAGGTGATGCCGACGAAAATAATGAAAAAGATAATCGCGCTGCCTGGCTATAATTTTTGAGCGGCAATGAACATCGAACAGCTTGCATGTTCACCAAAAAATTCTAACTACAGTGCAATAGCTACAAATGACTTCTGATTAATTTAAATGAATAGACCACTTGCTTTTGTCCATTGCATGTAATTTAACATGACAATGCTCATACAAATAACAAAATTTTATTTTGCTTGTCAATAAACATTAACATTTAAGACTAGGAGTATATTAGATAAATTGTAGAGGCCAAATATAAATTGCATGCTTTCTTTGCACATTGAGCTAAGTATTGCAAGCTTTCCATAAGCTTCTCTGAAAGCTTTTTTGTCCTTCGACTTCGATGATTTGCCCTTTTATATCTCTACACAAAAATCAAACGACGAAAAACGTCCCAATGTACGGATATGCGAAATGAATACTTAGCGGAAATACTGTACCAGATTGGCGTCAATGTCAGACTACATAACTAAACTTTTAAAAGAAGCGCTTTCAGAAAACCGGTCTTACCGTTTCCCAGTCCATGTGGCATGTCTCAATTGTATGAGACTCATCCACAACTATTGCTTCCACAGACTTGTGTAATTGTGAGCCATCATCATTGAGCGAGCATATCAAGAAAATCTTTGTCTATACAATTTTCCGCGCTACGTACAATATATAAATTGCGGCGGAGATGTTGTTATTTGATGGATAGTTTCCTTCGAAAGCTCCATCGCAGAGCAATTGAACGAAGATACCTCTAACACTTGATCGCATATAATACTTTTCAGAGAAGAAACCACAAGCACACTGCTTTAAGAACAGCCTCTATAGTCTGTTGGACGAAACTACTAGTACGTGCGGTAAAAATTATACTTTTACCGAATCCTGTCGGCACAACAGCCAAAACATCATGTCTTCTTAATAGTTCCTTTACGGCTGTCTCTTGCTCCGTCTTCAACACAAACTTACCGAAAGAATTTCTATACGAATTTAGTATACTGAGCGCATTCTCAATATGAAAGTTAAACTCGACACTGTCATGCACGCTCCAAAGCAGATGCCATGTTTGTCTAATTAAGTTGATATAATAATAAACTTATTAACAGCCGTTGGGTTTTTAGCCAATCACGTATTTTCAGTCCACCAGTGGACTGGCAAACGAAATCATATAGAAACCCGGCAGACGGTTTTTCTCCCTGCCGCCGAACTTTTCCCGCCCTAATTTTCTCCGCCCGCAACCTCCCCTAAAAATCGTCTGCTACGCAGGCTAGTTAGAGCGCTGCACTGGAATCGCAGGGCCGTAGGTTCAATTCCTACCAGAGGACCTTGTGCTGCATTTATCGCAGTCGTTCCTGGTCAGGTCTTAAAATGTATATATACTCACTTTTTTAGTTTATACACATGGACCAACTCAACAAAAGCCATGGAAAAACCCAACATGGCGACTGTGACGTCATCAATCTCGTTCCCCGAGCCTGCGATCCTTGGGAAGGAAACGAAGGCTCTGGGATAATCCATCTCAGAAATGAATATGATTGGTTGCTGGTATACAATGGAATGTTGCAATTTTGAAAAAATTAATTTTTAACCGTATATTTTTACATACAACATGGCGGCCGTTTAGGAGTGTGCGAATATTGTTTTGGTTTTTCAGAGCTGTGCTATATACTAATACTACAAAGGAAGTGCAAAGAAACGTATACTTAATGCGTATAATATCACAACAGTTAAATGGAGCGTGAAAACTTTACTCATATTTTGTGTTGTACAGGTTTTCTGTAGTTTTAATCTATACATAGTATACAGTACTGTCAGTAAACTGTTCTATTTGACTATAATATCAAATATGTGCTATATTTTGCAAGTACTATTTGTGTCAGAAATGGTTAATAACTTTATTAATTTGTCTTTGTGTTATCTAATTGCGAAGAACTAGCTAATAACTAGTTTCAATACATCCAATCTTTGGATTTACTGTTATATATTTTATTATTTAATGTATATACTGTACTGTAAACTTTTCAAGTGCAGGAGTATGTAATACTCATTTTAACTTGTAGCATGTAACCCTTCCCTATATGGGTGCATATGAATCTTTTGCTGTTATAATTTATTTATAGAAGAGTTCAAAAAACCTTTATTCTCTAAATAAACCACAATTTCACAGGCAGTGATATCAACTTGTATTCCAGTCTGCATACACCTAATACATATAATGAATTCTTGGGTTTCACTATGGCATTTTGCACGTTCTGATGGGGGGTTAACCTAAAATGTATTGATGCTTATGCTGCACTGGAGTGAGCAAATGATATGAAATTGCATGTATTTGCCACCAAACACAAGGCCAACACATACAGTGAAAAATTAATTCACTATGATGACTGTGTCTCGATTTAGAATTGACACCCCGTCAAATTTATGACGTCATATGAAACACAATAATATACAGTATAATATTACAGCTAATTGTAGCAGAAAGCAGGGATGGATTTACTGGGGGGAGGGGGGGTGCAGCGGGGGTGCCCTGGCCAGAAGGGGGTTTGCAGTAGTGAAGCAAGTTGATGGGCGGGCAGCACACATGACCGACACAACTCGGCACCACAGCTGGCAGAGCACCCCCTCCCCCTACCAGATCATGCTGGATCCATCCCTGGCATAAAGTATTTAATGATTTTAATTTATTGAGTAGTACAATATGCCAAATTGGCAATCCCTTCGTTAATCTTGTCCACACAGTAATTCAAAGAAGCTCTGTACGAGGTTGTATTAATTGGATTCTGTCCAAGAAAACATCATAAACCTTTTGATCCAAATGTTACAAAGTATGAATTCCAGATTGAGAGACCATATAAATATTTTTAATAAATTCATATACTTTTTTTAAGAAATGTTCTATTCACAAAAATATTAAATGATAGTGATCAGCCACCAATACCAGAGTTCATTTTCATCAGCTTCCCCCTGGTTATGACCCCCTGCAGGGAACCACCTAGGGTGCAGGTATAATTTTGTGACAAATGATAAAAAATTGCCCAATATAAATGCCGAGCCATAGAAATATTTTTATTACCATGGTCATGACAACTATCCTGTCAGTTTGATCGTAATATCAAAACGTGTTATTCAACTATAAAACAACACATACCTACTCTGAGAAGGGGAGGGGCAACAATAACTCATATATTTCAGTTTTTTCCATTCCTATCCAATTCAAATCATGCTGGCCACGAAAACAATTTCCTGATTTCAATACAATAAAATGCCTGACAATTTGGGCTAGTGACGCCCCTGAATGCTATAATGATAGCAACCTCTCTATTGCTAGATCTCCAACCTTGAATGTCATATTTAGTACAGTAGTTAATTAATGGCTGTAATCAACATGAAGTCAACTACATTTCCGGCCATTGATGAGAAATATTGTCCAGAAGTGCAGTGAAATAACAAAATAGGGTGCCCTAAAGGGCAGGCAGGTATAATAGTCGGACCGGATCGCCAGTCCGCGTTGGATCGGATCGCCAGTCCGCGTCGGATCAGGTCAGATCGTGCAGGTATAAAAGTCGGACCCGATTGTGATCCGGGTCGGATCATGCAGGTATAAAAGTCGGACCGGATCCATAGATCACCGAATCGCTAGTCCGGAATTAAAGGAAATAAAATATTGATAAGGCAGTTCGATGCAATAATTTTCACATGTTTTACCTTCGTCGCCATCCATTTTGCAGATTTGCCACGCTGTTTCAAGGCCTGGTTCCACGAGCGCTTTTTCTCGGCGAAATGCGAATTATTTCGCCTGTTTCTTTTGAATTGCGACTGCTCGAATAAATTATTTCTACTTGATTGCTCACAATTCAAAAGAAACAGGCGAAATATTTCGCATTTGGCCGAGAAAAAGCGCCCGTAGAATCAGGCCTTGCCTTCACGCTGTGTAAGTCATAGAGATTATAAATAACACTAGAGGAGGCATTGCAATCTTAATTCAGTAAAAAAAAGGGAACGCGACTATTGGGGGGCAAATTTAAGTCCCGGATGTGTATTCGTGTTCCCATTGGTGACGAGTTTCAAATCAGCCAATGAAAGCACAATTTTATATCCGGGACTTGAATTTGCCCCCCATTAGCTGCGTTCCCAATTTTTAAACTCGATGCCTCCTCTAGTGTTATTTATAATCTCTATGGTGTAAGTAACGCAGGAAAGAATGCAAACTTCCACTTGTGTAAGTAACATTTCCCTGAATATCCTGATATTTCTAAATTTTCTAAAGATCCGACCTAATCCGACTTGGTCCGACCTGATCCGACCGGACCACAATCCGGTCCGACTTTTATACCTGCCTCTAAACAGCATTGTGGCTTAATGATCTAATGAGATAATTAACCAAAGATAGGTAGACATGCAGATGGATAGCCTGCATGCAGACTATATAATGACATATATATATATATATATATATATATATATATATATATATATATATATATATATATATATATATATATATATATATATATATATATATATCATTATATAGTCTGCGCCATACCTAATTTTAGTGTGCAGTGATAACCAATTTGTGCAGTGATAAAAGTAAAATGTGCAGTGATAAAATGTAAAATGTGCAGTGATAAAATTTGCTTTGATAAGTTGTTAATTAACACAAGAGAATGATTTAATTGAAATTGAAATGATGACTGCCAAATTATCGAATTAAATAATAGTATATGTTTTTTGTACGAAAATCATGAAAAATTTCTTCGACAACAGCACTCTTCGCGGCTCCTGCCGGTGTGGCGGTCTGAGATTGTTCTGTGCTGAAATTGTTTTGCACATGCGCAGTGTCAACATGCGCCCGCGTGTGTGCCTGCGGTAAATTTGCCGTGCTGAAATTGCGCGCATTCTTTCCTCGAAATTCTTCGAATGCAAGTGGAATTCTATCTCTCTCGTTTGTTGGAAAATAATTTGACCAAGACAACGTTTGGTAAATCTCAGTAAAGGTAAGGGTATTTATTGTCATAAATTTGGTAACTCTATGATCATTCGACCTTCGTTTCTACTTGTGTATTTGCAATCTTGACCATGAAATCTTGTGCACGACTGCACGTGTCTTCAGACAATTATTGTATATCTTTCTGTATATATTTCTGTATCAATTGTAATGGTTCGCTTTTATTCTTCAAGCCTAATAAATGCCTTTTCTGATTTCATGTATTACTAACTTTGTTAAGTCTGTTAATGTGATTTTGACGTCTATACTTTTTTATGGAAAAAATTGTTTTGCAACATGTATGCAGTAGGTCAACACTCGGCCATCAAGTGCCTGTAGGCATCATTTTGCAGTAATATAAACTCTAGATTAATCTTTTATTAGTGGGCATAAAATGGTTGCAACTCCAAAGAAAAACAGTGTTGATAGTACACAAGACAAGCGCCAGAGGTCCTTGAACCATTTGATACTCTGCCACCAAGTACTATTGAAGATGAATGTCATGTATCAAACAGTGCAGCCGATGGTAGTGGGGATGAAGAGCCACCACATCCTAGTAGAGATGAAAGACTTGAAAAGCACAGGATGCAATGCCAGAACTTGATCACATATCTAACCACGAATGTGTGTCCGTCTGGATTGCCAAAAAGGAAGTGAGGAATATAAAAAACCAAGCCAAAACTCACCAATGGGACATTAAAAGTAAGATATTTAATATTTTATCAGTACAGTTAATTTATTTGTTTACACTGTGTAGCTAAAGATAGTTGAGCACACTCTGTCAAAAGTAAAATTATATGGGAACCACATTGTTTTCCTAGAACTGGAAATACTGCAGATTTCAATTGATGAACAACATTCGCCAATGTTGCTAAGTGCAAATATTAACAGTAACAAGCAAAGTTCGAGTACCTAGTATAGCATGTTTACTGTCAGCAGTATAGGAAGGAGTTTTGTTAACAGGAAACCTTTGTCAAAGGAATTAAGACCTGTTAATATTGATAAAACAATAGGGAATGACCCAATATGTACATACTTCTGAGGCCATCCCAAGGGGTAGAGCCAAGGGGGTTAATACCAGCTTCGTCTGCAGGGTTTTATTCTTGAATGACCCAGTCCCATATACCAAACTATTCTTTGTTGTGTTTAAGGAAAAGAACTTATCTATGTTGGGGCAAAGAAAAATTTGAGAAAAAAAGTTGTGATGGATGTCGAGGAGATTTCAGAGATTCTACATCAGTACCATTCCAATCCAATTGGTGGGCACAGTGGAATAAATAACACTCTGGCAAAAGTATCCCAGTACTATATTTGGAATGGTATTAAGGAGGATGTAGTTGAATATGTAAGTAACATAAAAGGAAAATTGGTTAACCCTTTAAGTGGCAATGCGCCCAGATGCACCCTACTTCATTATTTTACTCTGCCTAACTCCAGGCTTATTTTGATAAACATTAGGAAAAATGAAAACAAGTGTAAATTGCCTTTATTAGTGACGAAACACTTTAGATAAGAGGTGCTTATGTTGCATAATTTTTAAACTATGAATTACTGGTCCAAAAGTATCCCACAAAAGGCCACAATACACTGTTCTTACCCGAAGCCCTGTGTAGCATTTCCAAGGCCAATTTAAAATGTTTCATGCATTTTTTTACCATTATGCAATTTGTTACTTCTTAGTGTAAAACTTGTGATCGCTGCCAACGTTATGAGAAGCTGAAAACCCAAGCTCCAGAGCTTAAATCAATTAAAGTAAACAAGGCATTAGAATTGGTTGGAATGGATCTTATTGGTATGCTTCTAAAGATGCTTAAATTCAACTTCATACCTTAAATCATGTGAATGAATTTGTGACAAATCTGTTTTTGAAATATTAGTTTTTCGTGAATCTGTAACTCAAATGCCAAATAGAATACTTACGTATAAGAATACTCAAGTATTTCTGAATGTTGATTTTAATATAATTATATCTATTTTTATTAAAGATTGTCAAATTATTTTTATTATATTTTCAAGGGCCTCTTCCTACTACTGATGCTGGGTACAAGTATGTCCTTACATTCACTGATTACTACACCAAATTTGTGGACTTCTATCCTTTAAAAGAAAAAGCAGCTGCTGGGATAGCATGTTGCATCAAAACATTTGTTTGCATAGGTACCGTAAATAAAGTTTGTACAGTGCTTGAAATGGAGGCTAGTAGCTCTCTATATGCAAAGCTTACCATTACAATGATTAGGTACGGTATGCTTGAAGTGGACTACAGCCTTTATTAAGGCATCTAGTACAATTGATGTACTAACATATGATAATGCTAAAATGTTTTGTTTGATTATTCTTGTAGATGGGGTGCTCCATGCAGACTCCTGTCAGACCAAGGACGTGAATTTGTGGCTAAGGTAATGCCCATGTCTCCCTAAATAATTAACGTGCAATAATACATCCTTAAAGCCTTTTTTCCACTAGGTCAATTTGTTTGTGCAGTTTGTACAAAAGTAGAAACTGATGTATCTATTTTGTGGCAAACTTTTTCACTGACCAATCACATTACCAGTGAAGATTTTTCTCTTTGTGACAACAAATTCACCTCTCTAGAGTGAAAATTAGACAAAATGCATGATACATCCCTAAAATTGTTGGCAGAGGTATGCAGTCTCCAAGTGTCCTCTAGTTGGATTTTGCAAATGTTTGCAACTTTGCATGCACCTATAATTTTGCATGCACCTATAACTTGGACTATTACAAGCTTGCTTGTGTTTTCAATAGGTCAACACAGAGGTTTGCAGGCAGTTTGGTATCACTCGTTCTGTAACAAGTGCTTATCATCCACAAACCAATGGTCTTGATGAGCGGACCAACCAGACACTCAAAGTGCGACTGGCAAAATTAGTCAATGAGCGTCAAAACAACTGGGATGACTTTTTGGAAGAAGTCGCATTTTCAATTCGGACACAGAAACACGGTTCAACAAAGTTCAGTCCATTCTTCCTCATGTTTGGTCGACATCCCAGGACACCAATAGAGGTACTAACTGTAATTATTTGAACCCATAAAATGTTGTAATATGGACAAACTACCCATGAGACCAACATCCCCAATTGCAGTCTTAATTTTCATCTGCCCTCAGTCACATTTGCACTCAAGCTTTATGTTGCACCACAAAACATTATATGAACCTTTATGAGTGTTTAAAACAATGACTAATTATAGATGGAAAATGTGGCAGAAGAGGATGGGATTTTTGAGTTGGAAACTCCCTCGTCTGAAATCTTGGAAGAGATGACATATGACCGATCAGAAATGATGAACTGTGTTGACCAACAGGTGTGTATTATTATTATTGTTCCTGATGTTTGTCTTTTATGTATATCATAACAGCACTTGTGTTTTTATATGGTAACATACAGTACCGAAGATATCAATGAGTAGGAACAATATTTGATTAAAATTAAGTTGTAACTATTATGAGCTAACTTTCAGAAAACAATTGTTGGGCAAACAAAGCCAGTCGGGCAATATTCGCTTCACAGTTGGGCAATATTCGCTTGTTGTAAAAATAAATGGGACAAATTCTGTAAATTTTGTGGGAAATATGCTACAGGTGTATCTAATAGGAATTTTTCGTAATCACTCCCCCGCCCCAATCGACAACAATTTTGGAAAGTTTCTTCTGAAATTTTTTTTGACAATGTGCGCACAATCCGAAAAAGTCGGGCAAATTTCTTTCCGCCCACCCCCCCTAATTTTTTCCTTTACGTACGCCCCTGGCAGCCCGCAACCACCCGGAGAAAATAGGGTCGCACGGTTAATCACGATGAAAATATAATAGGTTCGGCAGAAAAAATAGAGTTGGTCAGGAACCAGAACCACAGGTATTTTTTTTACTCCTTGTCAAGGGGAGAGTCGTGTGCTTTAATGGGTTAAATTGATTTAAATTTTACAGGTTCAAGCCAACATTGAAAAAGCCCAAGCAAAACAGAAAAAGGATTTTGCCAAGAGAAAAAACAAGGGGGTCAAGGTTTTCCAGCTTTCAGTTGGTGACCTTGTTCTCCGCAAAGTTATGAAGAATATAAGCCGCAAAGGTGGAAAGTTAGATGCTTTGTGGACAGGCCCATACAGGTATGACAAGAAATATCATGACTATTTTATAAGAGTGAAATTTTTCTCATGACAAGAACCACTTGGACATCAAAGCCTAAATTAACAGTTGGACATTGGAATCGTCCGACCAAATCACAGTTTTTCCAGCCAAATGCCAAATTGGTCGGACATTGTGCCTGGAGCCTGAAAAATCAACTTTCTTGAAAGACTGGGTTAACTATAAGCTGCCAGTGCCTGCAATCATCCAAAGAACATTAGATGTAAATGATTTCACTATAGATAATAAGTGTTACTTGTTTTTCTGTAGGATTGTTGAGATTGATCACCATCAACGTGTCTCGTTGGCAAAGCTAAATGGGGATGTGCTGAATGTCAAAGTGCCTTATGAGCAAATTAAACCTCATACTGCTAGTGACTTGCACAAGCCAAAATCCTCTCCAGCTGTTCCGCTAGAACCAGGCTTTGAAGAAATCAAGGCAGAAGAAGTGGAAGAAGAGCCATGCCAATCCACTAGCCAAACTGACACTGTCACAAGTGAGCAAGTTCCCAAGGCCAGCAAAAACGAAACTAATGATGTTGTCTGCTGTGGTGAAAAAAAGCGGAAAAAGAGACCAATTGGACCATTGCCAGTCACACCAGCTCTCAAATACAAAGACTTTCCCAAACTTTTACCTGTGATTGAAAGTGGAGAATGGTTGACAGATGAACACATTGACAATGCACAGGCTATTCTCGCAGAGAATTTCCCCCACATTGGAGGCTTGCAGGCAACATGGGTGTTCATTTCAGAAGAGTGCCAATCGGTGGGTACTCCAAAAGAAGACTTTGTACAAATTGTAAATGTTTGTGGGAATCATTGGATCACCCTCAGTAACATTGGCTGCCCTAAAGATACTGTAACATTGTACGACTCACTGTACAACAACCTAGATTCTGCAAGCAAAGCAAAACTTCACAAGCAAATTGCATACATGCTAATGCCAACATCTAAGCATCTTACAATCCAGTGGGCTGATATGCAGAAACAAACTGGTACTTGCGATTGTGGGCTATTTGCAATCGCAGCGGCAACAAGTCTGTGTTATGGCATTTTACCCCAAGACTGTTACTGGGAGCAAGAGAGTATGAGGGATCATTTGTGTATGTGCTTCCAGCAAGGAGATCTGGCACTTTTCCCACAATTGGCAGTTGTTCGAAAACACAAGAGGCATCACAGAGTGGAAACTACTGAAGTATTCTGCCACTGTCGACAACCATACAACCCTGGTGTTTTCATGGTTGCATGCGATCGTTGCCAGGATTGGTTCCATCGAGGATGTGAAAGGGTTCCGAAAAGGATAAACAAGAACACTTTATTCGTTTGTAAAAATTGTGAATAGATCACAGAAGAGTATCAATATTGTGTGGAAATGTAAATAAGTTGTAAATATTTCATTAATCATAATTAATTAAGAGAAATATCCCATTCTTTTGGTGTGACTATGAATAATTGCTTGCTGTAAATAAATTTGTTGTGGTTGTAAATAATTGCTTGCTGTAAATAAAATCGATTATAGCAGGTTCAGCATTATAAATGTATCTGTGTGTTCATATTCTTTCTTCTGTAATGTTGATATGCATTCAGGCTTGTTTAATTAACCTTTAAGTGGAAATGTGCCCCACTTTTTATTTTACTCTGTTTAATGCTAGACAATTTTATTTATCAAGGGAAGCTGCTACCACTCAATGGGGTAAAGGAAAATTTTCATGTCAATTTAGTCTTGCTCTCCCAGTGCACCATTTAGAATGTGTCGTAATGCATTTACACCATTCAGAATGTGTCGTAATGCACAAGTGTTATGCTTCTCTCTTTCATTCCTGGCAATTTTCCAAAGAAATCCCAGAAAAATTCTAAGCATGATCCACGGTTTACTCTGCCAACACTTTCTTTGCATAACATCAGGCATCGATAAAATGGGTCATTCCAGAAAAGATCCACACTCCCCCCACGGAGGAAATTTTTGCCGTCCGGAGGGGGAGGGGAGACAAAATTGTTTCTGATAATAGTAAAGGTATTAGGACATCTGAAGGGGGTAGGGGGGTTAACTTCCAATTTCCTTTGTGGGGGTGGTATGGATGTTTTCTGGAATGACCCAATGTGTGAGTGCTGCTAACAGGCACCTTTTGACTTTTTGCAGGCACATTTTAAAATACTGACATTTTAACGATATTTAGGTCACAAGATCTAAATAAGATGTGTTTTGCAGGCACATTTTGAATTTCACTTGCAGGCACGAAAAAATGTTATTGAGGCCTGCATAACATACATCAAGATATTTGAAAGTTGATGAGAATTGTTAGCAGAATAAACCATGGGCTGTGCTTGGAATTTTCCTGCAACTACCTTAAAGTTTTTAGATCACAGCTCTGTCAGAAATTGTATTGCAAGAGGTTGCTACAAAAATGGTCTTGTTTTAACATTGTCCTAATTATTTCTGGTTTCAATTATTTTCCCATAGGAGTATAGGCAATTTCATGATAATGGCAGATCATACCCATTATTTTTCTCTGTCTAATGCCAGATGACTGTACCTATTAGAGAAAAGTCTTGCACAATGAAACAGGCATAAAGTTGCAGTTAAAATTGCCTGGTGTATAAACATATTGGCCTTTCCTAGTTTAAATTTCAGCTATTTCTTACATTTTTAAATTTCTATATAACAACAAATTATTGGTAAATGTCTGCATGCTTTCGTTATTTTTAATATACAATCTGTAAATGTAAACTGATGGGTATTTTCATGCAATCCACCTCTATAAAAGTTTAGTACATTATATGCGATA